TAATATTAAAATGTGTCTAAAACGATTCCTCGTGCTCTTTGTTGTTGTAATATAAATGTCCAATGCGCTTCAGAGCCTGGTCTCCAGGGGATTTCTGGTACCACTGCATGAGTGGGTAGTCGGTCTTTTCATGGCTGCAGATCAGCTGCACTTTTTCTCCAGGTGTTCTGAAAACTTCCAAAGGTGTTTGGGAAACTTGAACACCCAGACAAACACCTAGAAACAGAGAAAATGAATAATCAGCATATAAACTAAATATAATTTGGGATCCTTGGATGATAAATGTGATTACCAGTGAGCCAAAACAAACTGAATAATGTCAGCATGATGAGCTTCTGTCTGAAAACAGAACAGTGAGTGATATGAACATTTTCCCCATGCACACTTTTATTGACGCCCTCGTCTTGAAACCAGCTGCTAAAGGTTTTGATGTCAGTATTTCTTGAGCTTCATCGCCACCTACTGGAGGACATAAAAGTCAAGTCATCTCTAATATCAGATTAATTGTTGAGCAGTTTCTGTACAGCTTCTCCTACTTATCACATCACTGTGTTTGCTGACAGCACAGAAATACACACCACTGTCATTCTGCTGCAAATCATTCACAGTTAGAGCGCCGTTCTCAGCTTTTGCTTTTAGAGCTGAATATTTGTTTTTAGGCGCCCCACCATAGTCGGGCACCCCACCCAAAGCTGTGTAGACGATGAGTCTCATGGTTTCGCCCGGTCTTTGAATGTACCAGTACATCTGGTTATGAGATATATCTTTTTTGTGGCTGCAGTTCATCTCTGCAGCTTCATTAACATAACTCCATCTGATTTCAGGTTGTTGAGTCACATCCTGGGAAAAACCTGAAAGAAGAAAATATAAATGAATATTTAAAAATACTCTGAGCAAACGTGTTCATGTCTTACACGAACAAAAATGATTAATGTTTATGTACCTTGAAGCCACAGAGATGAGAATATGAAAGCGATGACCGGTTGAGCAATCATAGTGTTATTGTACAATGTGATGGGAGAGATTTTCATTATTTAAGTCTCCTGCTTTTTATAATGGTAGGTGGAGGTTAAAGGCTGTTCCTCACAGTAAGGACCTCCCATTCCCTTACTGGGTTATAATCACAAAACCAAT